TAATTTGTTTTTATATGTGCATCCAATTTTGTTTCTTTTCTTTATTATTGTCAATTGCATTGGAGATTGACTTCGTGAGATTTTAAATCTTTTATAATTATTGCATTGATTCAAGCAGTTAATAGTTTGATAAAACTTAAGTATATTTTTTTAATATTTTTTATTAATTAAAATTGAAGTTTTAATAAAGATATATTTAATTTTATTTAAAATTATTAAATTAAAATTTCAATTTTAATTAATACACAAGAACAACACTTTCAAATTTATATTTAAGTTTTATCTTTAATAAATTAATAGTATTAATTTTTCGTAATCTTTTTATTCCTCTTTTCATATGCACATTTTTTATTTTTTTTGTGTTAATTGATTCTGGTATCAATTCAGGAAAGATAAAAGAGTAAACACCAAATGTAAGAGAAAGTAAATGAAAAAATAAATAAATTTTATTGTGCAAATAATATTAATATTTTTTAAATTGGAATTTTTGCTTTATGGTTTGCTTATATGATGCCAAGAAAAAGAAATTGATTTTATCAACTTTAACATTTAGATTAAATTTAAATATGTAAAAATAATAAATTTATTAATAAATAAAATATTTAATATATTAAAATAATAATACAACAGTGTATTAAATATTATTTTTTAAATAAAAATTAATATTTTAAATATTTAAATCTAAATTTAAAATTTAAAATTAAAAAATAAAAAGAAAATAAAATTACTCTCAATTTCAGCCTGCTATTACTTTTATTACAACATTATATACAATAAAAGGTTATATATAATAAGTTTTATAAAAAAAAATAGAAAATGTATTACAATTTAACATATTATAACTATTAAATATTATATTTTTAAATAAAAAATCATTTATATTGTGTACAAAGATTTAAATATTAAAAAAAATTATTAGTATCCATCCATCTGACAATAATGTCAACTAGATAAATGAATTGAGGAAGTCTCAATTGAAAAATGACGTCTTTTACTCATTTAAATAAAAGAAGCTTTGTCATCGTAATCAAAATCTTTATCATAGTTTTAAAAAAAGTCATTGTTATAAAATAAACAAGGTGGCTTGTTTAGGTTTTATTGGTTGACGTTTGAAATTTCATGTGTGCATGCAACCCTTGCATTAATGGTGGTTGAGGTTGACTTATAGACATATTATTTAAAAATAATTTTAAATTTTCTTATTTTTTGTATTTGCAAGTTCTTTTAATTATTAAAAATGTTTATTCAATACTTATTTTATAAAATAATAAGAGAATTTTAGAAAAATATTTTAAAAAAGATTCAAACTTGTCTTGTGATTATTCAATTGTCTTGATCCATTGTGAATGAGGCAGGCATGGGGCATGGTTTGATAAGACCAATGAATTATATATGATAATGGCTTCGTCAACTATGTGTTTTAAATCAATAGCTTATCACAGCAGATAACCAGTGGGGCACTTCATTTATAATACATGTGAGCATGATGCAAAGCAAGTCCATAATTTGAACCATTCTTTTCTTCACTCATTTAATTCTATGAGAAAACAATTCGGTTCACTTTCTTTTTTCCTTTTCTTTTGGGGTGTCACATTGTATAAATGATTATTATTTAGTATTAAGAATGAGTATTAGTGAATTTGAGTTTGATCAAACTTAATTTTATAAAATCATTTTTTAAAATATGATGGAGTTTAAAATATATAACTTATATTTAAAATATTTTGTCAAAAAGTAATCATAGTAAAATTTAATATAATTTTTTTAATTTAATAAAAAATATAATTTATCATGTGAATTTAAAGGTAAATTTATTAAAAACATTAACTATATATAAAATTATTAAATACGTTGACTCAAATTTTAAATCATTTTTAAAATTTTAAATTTCAGTTTAGAGACTTTAAACGCTCATTCAATCATGTACTTAGAATATTTAAAAATTAATCAAAATAAATCACATTTTAACGTAAAAAATATGACTTGTGTCATTGAACATGTTAAATCACATTTTAAAATAAAAAATATGACTTGGGTCATTGAAATGATCAATGTTTAAGTAAATTTGACTCTAGTATAAACATATACTTAAGTTTAATTTAAATAAATTAAATAATAAATAATTAAATAAATTAAAATTTAAATAATAAAATAAATTAATCTCTTTTGTAAATTAAAATTTTATATTTTATATTTTTAAAATTTTTATTATTAATTTTTTAAAGTTTAAGAATATAAATTAATTTTAATTTGTAGAATAAATTTTATTTATTTTTATAATCTGAAACTTAATCTTTACCTTCAAGACTGATCCATTTAAAATATAAACCTTTTGTTTTAGTACAAGAAACACCGTTAGACTTTTATTTTATGTCGACATATTTTTCATGATCACCATTTTTTTTATGAGTATGGTTATCATATTCTTTAAGTCTTGCTCCTGTCTTTGTCTCCTTTCGACTGTAACAAATTATTTTGAATGAAAGAAATTGATAAAAAAGAAAGAGTATATTTATTTTAAATTTTTGTGAAAATTCTTCTAAACATTTTAATGTAATGAAGAAGTAGAAATTAAATAATTGTTGAAAAAAACATTTGTATTTAAAAATGACATAATATAAATAGCATTTTAAATTATCATAAACTGATATTATTTTTATCAAATAAACTAGATGTTTATTCATTTCTGTTCTCACTTTTAGAAGCATGACTCACATGTTATTTATGTGTGGAATAGAAAAAAGATACTAATAGAATAAAGGGGGGTAAAAAAGCAATGCTTTTTTGGCTACTTTTTAACAAAAGTGAATAGTTTTAAAAAGTAATGGATCTCACGTTATTTCTTTCTCTTTTTCTCTGTTTCTCTGTTTCTCAGCTGTATCGAATACTATAGATTCTATCTTCTTCTTGGTTTTTGTCTCTTTAAATTCGTTCTTCCATTAAAAATATCAAATATCTGAATCTTTTTTCTTCTTTTTTTGGTTAAAAGGAAAGATAAAAAAACAAACTATGATCTAAAAAATAAAATTTTTGAGATATCCACAAACAACAATAGGGATAACTCAGAAGGAGCTTGTTCCATTATGACTATCTCTTTCAACCTTAAAAAGCACTTTTTTTTGCCAGATGATCCACACACGTTATCTTGGCAAAGAACAGGATAACCGTAGAATCTCAATGTAGAGCAAGCAACGTTTGAATTGAAGAAATAAAAGCATGGTAAGCATAGAATTTTGGAGTTTACCACCTCCAAACAGTTTGAGTAACCTATTTTCTTCTTGCATACATAGGCAATTTGGAGACCATAAGAAACAGCATAAACTCAGCCATAATATTAATGGAAATACCCACTAACATAAGACTTTATGTAAAAGACTATCTTGATGTGAAATTAATATAAAAATAGTCATATAATATACTTTAATTAATTATTTAAAAAATAATATATAATTCTTGTACTGCACATAAAACATTAGCAGTTAATATCATAATCATAATGATGGCAAAATTGGTGTCATTGTTATCCGTAACCGTAAAATCGAGGAAGAAAAAGCTTGTATTGCATGGCAACACTGACATGTTATTCATTTAGATTCAAACATGTTATAACGCAATCAATTTGCACCATTTTTAAAAAATTATATTTTAGAAATAGTTTTGAAATTTAATTTTTAAAAATGATTAATATACTTCAAAATTTTATTTCCGAAAAAGGTGATATAATTATAAAAAAAGGGTGTATAATAAAAATCAAAGTCAATTTTTTGATATGTTAGTCTTGGGCATCCATCCAATTTATAAAAAATAAAATAAAATAAAAATAAAAACTGGTTAAAAAGATGAATGGGTCGGTGTGGTAATTAAATTTTGTTTTTTTTTAAAGTAGTAATCCAATTTTAAAATTTTGATTGTTTCAATGTGGGTTGGATTTGAGTTTGAGTTGGGCCTCGTTAGTTTGGTTAAAATAAAGTGTCATGGAGCAAGGTGCAAAAAATCATGCCAACTTTCAAACTTTTCTACATTCCATTTTATCCTAAAAATTATATAATTATTTGTTTGAATTTGCTCAATTTTGTCAAATTTTATATTTATTGAATTTAAAAACAATTATTCTTAAATTAAGTAACTACCATTTTAATAGTAGATCATTCCTTTTTATGTTATTGAAAATTGCAAATAATGCAAGTTAAAATTAATTTATAAATAAATAAATATATTAAGAAAATATATATTGGTTTTACAGACATATGTCTAGCATATAAATCAACCAAAAATTTAATAGGGTATTTGATTTTCTTATAACAAATAACTATAATTTATATAGTCTCTTTAAGTTAGCTTAGTTGATAAAGTTATAAAATATAAATTGTGAATATATGAGTTTGGTTTCTTGTAATACATTTGTTATTTTCTCTTCTTATATTCATTTTCCTCTACTTTTATGAATGTTCTCTTAGACAAAAATATTATAATTAATAAGGGAATTTTTTGTCAAAGTTATGTTTTTTGGTTTTTAAAACAGAAAAAGTAAACATGCATGCGCCAATACTCACAAAAAATATAATAAAGTTTTTGTTGAGTAGTCAAGTAAAATGTGCAATATTTTTTCAGCAAAAACATATTGATATTGATATGAAGTACTTTTTCAAATGTCTAATTTAACCCTTATTAATCTATTGTAAGAACGAGGATAAATTATGTTTTTAATTTTTATAAATATGACTAAATTTAATTTTAATATAAAAATATTAATTTTAATTCTCATAAATTAAATATTTTTAAATATAACTTCTATTACAACTTATTAATGACTTCATATGTATTTAAACATCTTATACTATATATATATATATATATATATATATATATATATATATATATATATCACCTCAAAATGGCTATACATAATGTTCAAATGCATGTCACATTACCAGTAAATAATAAAATATCATTTTCAAGAATTTTAAATTCATAAAAATAAATTCAATAAACTAAAACTAAATTTAGTTATGTTTATATAGATTAAAAATATAATTAATCCTAAAAAATTACTTATTTATATGCTAAAATGCTACACATTAGTAAACAAGCTTAAATTTTAAATTGAAACTTGTAAGAGAATCAAAGGGGCCCTCTAAACTCTAAAAGAAATTGACATTTCTCTGCATTGCCAGTTCCTCTCGGAAGTTGAAAAATTCTACGTTCCTATTCAACCTCTTTGCAAAATTCTGATAAGGAAGTTGTTCCTTTTCCGTGACCATCTTAAACTTGAAGCATAATCATATTCTGTCCTTCGTTCATCTATGTGATATAGTTTTCCCTCACCAACATTATAATCACAGATAATAAAGTTCAACCTTGAAAGATTGTTCGATTACAATTGAATTCATTTATCCTACTAAGGACAATTTATAAACAAACAATCTTAAGCTATGTCTTACCAAGTTAATCAAATGCCAAGGAAACTGAAAAAAGAGAAAAAATATAAATTGTACTTTTAATCCAAACCAATAATAAATTTATTGCGAACTTCTTAGTTTATTATACATCCATGTCCACACGAGAAAACAAACAGCAATTTTATTGCAATCTCACCATTATTAGGAATTAATTAAAGTGGTAACTGCATACAAACTGCAATATCAAGGTTTCCCAAGGATTATGCTTCTCTATTTACTAATTAGGCACCTTAATATACCCCACATGTGTGGAATTAGCCACTCTAGTAAGTGTTTGAAGATCGTAAGCTATCCAACACCTTGAGTTCTCTCTGTGGTAGAAATAGCCAACACACTTGCAATCCTTGGTACACTTTGTTCCACAATTACTTTCACTTACTCTATCCCCCACAGTGTATTTGCTCATGTAATGCTCAACTCCTTCAAGTTTGTAGTAGTGGAAATCACTAGCCTTGCAAGATGTCACAGGCTTGGCAGTGCAATTGTTGCTCCACCCAAAAAGCCCATTTTCCAATGGGCAAGCCACACATTGGTTGTCCTCACAGAGCCCAAATTTCCCACATCTCTCTGGCAATTGGCACTCACTTTCATCAGAATCTCTTTCAAAGAGAGTGTAGGTTACCTGCCAAACACCATCACGCACATCAAGGAAGTAAGTGTGCATCTTAATGTTGCCATCAATTCCAAGCCTAAGATATGTTAAAGTGCTATTATTCACTGGCCTAGCAATAATTCTATTGCCGCTCGAGGAAGGGTTGGCCACATGATAATCAAATCCGATTTCAAAACTTTCTGGATCAGATGTGAGTGTTGCATTTTCTAAGGACCCTTGTTGAATAGAGAACCAATCAGATGAAAACCAATAGAGAATTGGCCTGGGAGAGTTCTTGCTCTTATAGTACAAAGCCAACCCTTTAGGCTCCAACACCAAACTATAAGGCCCGTCTACATTTTCCTTCTCTGAAAGCCTACTAACCAACTTGGATGGGCCTTTAGCTCTAAGATACTGACCCACCAAAAGGGTATCCGTAGGATGGTCAAAACTTTGCCAAACAAAGTTACCCTGTGCATCGAGGAGCACCATGTTACCATTTGGAAGCAACCTAAAGGCCACAACACCCTTGTTGGCAGTGTTGGTTTGCCAAGCAATTCTACCATCAGCATGAGCCAACACAAGGTTCCCATCAACCCCAAGTGAAAAGGTGGCATTTTCTCCAACCGGGTTGCCTCTATTGGCTTCCCACACCCAACGGAACAGTTGCTCCGAGCGTTGAAGTCCCACACGTAGAGCCAAAGTGAAGGCATTTGGTGTAGTGTTGTAGAAACCAACTTGGAATGGAGAGTTGAAAATGCTTATCATTCGGTAATCAGCACCATACTCAACAATAAAGGGCCCAAATTCACCGGAGTTAACAAATTTAAAGGTTTCATTTTTAGGAACAATAGCATGAGCAATGAAAGTGAAGGATGAGAAGAAGAACAGTATGGCAAGAAGGGAAGTTTTGTGTTGAGACAAAGAAGCCATTGTTGTAATTGATGAATGTGTTATGGAATGTTTGTGGGTAGCCTTACTATATATAGTAAGAAATTTAGGACTTAGAAGGTACTCGAGCCACCTTTGGTCAAAGTTTTCAACTTGAATATTATTTAAAAATGAACCAGATCTGGATCGAGATCAACAAAACATAGACTGTGACGACAAAGATGCCAACTGTGAAAAATTTCCGTGTCGTCAGTACACTTCCGTGCATTATTTGTGAAAATGATGAGTTTAGTACCTAGTTGGCTTGAACATCAAAGCATTTGTTTTGTATCTTTGGATAAGATATTTAGAAAAGTGTCCCTTAAAATAAGATTGCTTTTATAAGGCACTAAGCAAATGTCCACGAAGTCTTCCTATCTTTGATGCCCCACATTTTGATAAATTGATTTTGCAAGTGAAAAATAAAAATACATTTAGTTTTAAATTTAATAAAATAACAATTAAAGTATGCTGTAAATTAAATGACAATTTTATTTAATTTCTAGAAGTTATAGATTTAATATGAACTATTAAATATGTTAAGATACTTTGAATTTATGCATAATTATTTATTGTTAAGATATTTCTTGAATTTTGATCGACATTATTTCAATAAATTGAATAAAAAGTTACAAATTATTATAATAAAGTATGAGTCATTATGTATATAAATTTTAAAAGAAAAGTTGGACACTTTACAGTAAATAATATATATATGTTACAGTATCAGTGAAAGTAAGTCATATTTATAGAACTATGTTTATTTAACTATGTTAATTCTGGTGTGTTATTTTATTTTTTATCATTACACTTTTTTTTTTCTTTTATAACATGATAATAGAAGTACGAGGCGGGTGGTGAGGTTGGTCAAAGATTTTGACATGCCCGTTGTTTGTGCCCATTGGATTTTCTTGACTGAATCATATTCAACCTAACTTACGGCTTTTATGGTGGTTTGAGCATGTTTGCATGAAGGGAGTTACCAAGATTTTGACTAAAGTGAAAAAAAGAAGAAGCCTAATTATATTATGATTGAAATTCTTAAATAAACAGTTCTTCAAATCCACTTTTAATTATAAAAATAACAAAACCTCTTTATTTTATATCCGCATATGAAATTGTAGGCAACATGTACGTTGAGCTTTTTAATTCATTGAATGGATTTTAACGAAATGAAGAAAATAACCCAACAATAGCTGTCTACTTTAATGGCCTCTCCATATCATCCCAGCTGAGCCTCTCTGTGGTCATAATTGATTTAAATTCATTAAAAAATATCAAATTATAAAAATTAAACTTTTTTTTTTATAGTAAAAGCATCTCCAACTATTCTCATAAGTTAAGTTATATTTTATTAATTTTTATGCAAAATCTCATAATAATATATTACTTTTTTCAACTTTTTATTATTTAAACAACTCTCATCTCAAATCATATAATTATAAATGAATCTCACAAATTATCTAACATTTTTATATGTCATCAACTATTTAGGTCCACTACAATAAGTTAGGCATTAGGTGATTAATTTAGCAATTGACTATTATTTAGTTGTCTACATCATTCTTCTCTATCTTCAAATCCTAAATATAAAATTGGTGCTTATTTAAAAATGTTGCTTAAACACTTTCGTTAAAAATGCTTAAATTCTTATTTACAATTAGTAATTTAACCTATGTGATAGACTAGTGTATAAAAAAAAAGCACAAGATTAATTTGTACAATGAGATAAAAATATTGATAACTAAATAATAAAAATTCCTCACTCAGATATATCATAAACTAAAGTCAATGTATAAATTTACCTGCAATCACATCTGATAACTAAATAGTATTAGTTATCAATATTGACAACTAAACAATTTGTGCTTGTTAACTTGAATATAATAGAGTTAATTGAAGACATAGTTTCAATTTCCACTAACTGAAAGACAGAACCAAAATTAACTGGAAACTATCAGAGGTAAAGTGCACTATTCTGCTTATTACCAACAGTCCAATTCACTGAACTCTTCTAAGAATGATTAGCAGTAGAAATATTTTGTCCTGAACCCTTGAGAATCACGTGTAAAATTAGTCTAAAATCACATCTTTAAGACAATGACTTTACCCAAATGATAAGGCTAATAGAGAATTTAAACACGTCTTTAAAACATTTATTTATCGAAAACATCAAAGCATTGTTTACTTAGCACGTGTGTGAGCCTTATGATTAACGTAGTGGATTTTCTGAAAATGAAGCTGAAGCCAATGACCCAACGTTAGGTGACTACTTTAATGGCAGTGAGTACTGAACCCAAAACTAATGCAGTCGTCGATGTCACCCCAGTTGCCCCTTTTGACCTGTCATTATTATGTTCAATTTATAATCAATGTAAGAAGAGTTTTGATTTCTTATTTACCCCTATCTTTTTAATTTTTTTATTTTATAAAGCAAATATTTATTATATTAAAATATTTAATATTTTACATTTAATAATTAAAAATTTATAAAAATAAAAGGTAAGAAGATTTAAAATTATTTTTAAAATAATTCTCACATTTAACTATTGTATTTTTTTATCATGTCATATATCATATTTCTATTTTTTATATTTTTCATTCATTTCACTCTCATTAACAGGTGTCAAATGATTATTTACATTTAAAAAAAATATCAAACACGTCCTTTTAAAATGTTTTTTTTTAATTATTGACTTTAATTCTTTAGAAGTAATAAAATTATAACACTTCTCATTTAAGGGTTCTGATTTTTAATTTTATGGTTCTTAAAAAGAAATTTAACATTAATGGAAAGATATGTTAAAAATGTGCTATTCAACACTCACTTTAGTTGCACTTTACTTCAAAAGAGAAAAAAATTGATAAATTTATTACTAAATTTATAATATAAACTATTATTTAAATATTATTAAATAAGTACTTAAATAAATTTATTTAAACATGCACACTCTTAAATTCATATTTGACATAAAAATAGTGTAATTTCATATTCTATCATGATCAATTTTAATTTATATTTTTAATCTTAATTGTTTGAAAGCTTTTATTTTATATTAATATTTTTCTATCATTATTTAAAAGTTAATTTACCAAAGAGAAAGTATTAATTAATAATTACCATGTGTAATTGTGAAATTTTTCATTACATTTAATATTTAGACATGATAAAGAATTTCAGAATTATAGATAAGTAATTAAATAATTTATTTATTAACCTAACTAAATACAACAATTTAAAATTAGCGTCTTCACTTTGTACGTTATAAATTATTGAAATTTTTTGTATATTAATGTTACCTTATCTTTCATTTAATACAAATTATTTTAAAATTAAGTTATATCCTCACTCATCATAAGTAATTATTTTTATTAATTGATTTAAATATATTTTTTATTTTTTAAATCTTTTTTATTGAAAAATTAATTTTATATTAAAAAATATAAATAATGTTTCTAACTTTAATAAATTAAAGAAAAAAATATTTAATTATTTAAAATTATTTTTCTATTTTATTATATAATATATTGCAATATCGATATATAATTTATATTATCTTTAATTGATATATAAGTCATAAAAAAATTTATATATAATTTACATTATCTTAAATTTAATATCAAATTTTGAATTAAAATATTTATTTAAATAATTTTTTATAAATTAAAATATCTTATCTTTATTATTATATATAATTTTGTTTTGATTTACAATAAAAAAGTGTGATATTCGTTTGCTATTGATATTATTTATCATAAAATAACATATATAATAATGCTATCTTGTATTTTAAAAGTTAGAATTTTATTTTTAAAAAAATAAAATTAATTAAAAAAATCTTTTAAAGTTTTATTAATTTTTTTAAACATAAATTTCAAATTAATAAACACATTTTACGATATGTTAAACAAAATTACGTGATTTTTAGTTTTTTACTGTACCTGTAGATATAGAATTGAGAATTTCGTCAAGTTAAAATAATTTTGTTTTTTTAAATATTATTAATATTTTAATAAATGATTTATGTTTCTTTAAAAAATTATATTTATATACAATTACTATAAGGTAATAAACAATGAATGTTATAGGGTGATATCATATTTCTCGTAAAAGATGGAGTATGAATATTAAAAAAAGGGCCAAAAGATAAACATGGACTGTGGATTCATCATCCCATAAAAAAGGGTACTCTTGGGGTCAGTAACAAATATAGCACTAGCACGTACGAGGCCCAATGTCGCCTACACATAAAAGCCCATCTGAAGACACAGATTACTGTAATTTTTAATAAAAACATTTTATTTACTGATCACTCTTAGAGGGTGTTGATGATCTTTACAAAAAATTAAAGCAGACGATTTGGATCCTCATCTTATAATAATAAAATAAAAGATAAAAAGCAAAATAAATTAAATCTATACAAATGATAGTTCTTTTCATTATTATTTTGTATCTTTATCCCTCTCACCAAAATTAACATGAGAAGATCTTCATCACATGCAAATATTTCTCTTTTCTTTTTACTATCAACCATAGTGATTGATTAAAGAACTAATAAATTAATTTTCTATTAAAATTCACAAAAGTGTATTATTATAAATATTTAACCGTTATATATAAACATTACTGTTTACTAAATAATTGATATACCAATGCCATGAAAAGATTGACTTAATTGGACTTTTCATTAGTAAGTGATTTGTTTTTAACAGGGAAAAAAACTTGAAGATTTGTGAGTCTCTGAATCACAGTTTACTGGTCACCTTTGTGTCAACTACCGAGTTCCATGTACAAACTATACTTAAAGCACAAATAAGCGAACCTACCAATCAATTATTATTAGAACCAAAAAAGAAACATTTCCTAGGTAACATATTTATTGTTGTCCATACAGAACATAAGCAACAAAATCATCACTGCTTTACACAAACCACTTGAAGACAAAACATGAAATAACCCAACAAATCATAGCATATTGTCCCCAAACACAAACAAACAAACAAATCAAACCTGGAGACAA